GTGTTGTTCTCTCAATGAACTCTCCCTCCCCCCATTATGCATAAATTGATCAACTCTTTCACATTCGCCATTCTTGATGGTACTTGTGCTTCAAGGACGAGTTTTAGTCATGGGCCCAAGGATAATTCTTCGCGGTGCCATACCAATCGACTCAAACATAGGTGGCTCCGGCCACCGCCCTCTCTTTGGAGAGGTCGGTTCTTGTTTTTTGGTCCTTGTTGTCTCTTGTTTTTTTTCTCTTCGTGCCTAGCTTGTGCTTGTCGTGCCTCGTTCGTCAGCTCGTTGGTGTGTTCGTTCGCTTGAAGGTTCCGTGCAAAGCTGTTTCTTCCTTTGGTTGAAACTGTATTTTCTTGGGTTCACGGTACTACCGTGGCATTCCATGGTACTACCGCAAGGACACGGTACTACCGCAACCAGCACGGCAGTAATTTTTTATTGCCGCTGGTGGAGCAGTACTACCGCCCGCGGCGCGGTACTTCCGCCCGGGTGGTACTACCGTGAGGACGCGCGGTACTACCGTGGAGTAGCGAGCGCGGGGGGGTTAAGAGCGGGCAGGGGGAGTTCCAACTCCCCCATACCCATTCACCCTTTCTTCCCCATTCCGCCTCTCTCTCTCTCCTGCCCACGAACGGCGCCGGAGGCCCTCGCCGGATCTTCGTCCCCAGCTGCTCTCCTCGGATTCCGACCGGTGGGATCGTTCTCCTCTTGCCATGGACCAAGGTTTCTCCCCAAATCCCTCTCTTGTTGGTTTGTTCTTGTGCTTCTAGGTTTTTGGGGAGATGCATGCGGTTCTTGAGATTTTAGGCTAAATCTGTGCAAGAGTAGGATGTAGGAGAGTAGTACTGCGTAGAGATAGTACTTGATATGTTGCCCCGTGGTAGATTTCATCGACCATAGTACCGCTTTGCTGCTGCGGTAGTACTCAGATCCAGTGGAAGTTTCGGATCTGAGTCTGTGCGGTACTACCGCACCTCCCGCGCGGTACTTCCGCCAGATCGGTACTACCGCATCTGCAGCGCGGTACTACCATGACTTGGAGCGACACTATTTTTTTAGTACCGCACGTACAAGCAGTGCTACCGTTGTTGTCAAACCTCTCATGTGGCAATTATCAAGTGCTAGTTCTACTTGTTTCACAGCTTTGTTGTGTTCTTTGCATTGATCATTCTCATTTTTTGTGCGTGTTCTTGTGCTTTGTATCTCTGGTGGTGGCTCCGGTGGCTCTGCTCGCCGTTCCAATCCAAGCCGTGACACGGGCTCCAAGCGTCTCTGCAATCAAGATGAAGCTCCAGAGGGCTCCAGTGCCCCCCAATGCAGGACCAAGTCCACCGCCACCAAGGACAAGGAACCCACCATGGGTATGGATGAGATACCACTTGCTGAGTTCATCTCTCGAAGGAGGATCAACCCCTATGTGAAACCTCGTGCCAACTTTCGAGGGAATGATTTGTTCGGGACCAAGCAGTAGAATCTCATTTATCTGGATGTGATCAAGGCCAAGCGGAACATCTATGTGGACGTGCATTGGATCGACATGCATCATCTGAGGAAGCAAAGCACCGGGACTACTTTGGTGAGGCTCTGGATCTTGTGGAGCAATTTGGCATTGAGCACATCATCTCTTTCCACAAAGACTATGATCCTGAGATTGTGGCTCAGTTCTTTGCCTCGGCGTACTTTCATCCTAATGAGGAACGGACTATGACTTGGATGACCAATGGTCAGAAGCTGACTGCTACTTGGAAGGATTTCATGACTTTGCTTGGTGTTCAGGATGAGGGGCTCGCCACACCCCAAGACGCTCGTCCTCATGCCAATCCTGAGTCAGCCAACAAGAACAAGCTTCAGCCCTTCTATGTTGAGAAGTAGCTCTCCAGTGGCAAGTCATTTTGGGTGCTCAACTCCTTCCTTGACATCATGTACCGGATCTTCCGCAACTCTCTCTTTCCTCGCATTGGTGACAAGGACAAGGTGCATGCTTATCTGGTGGGCATGCTACTTCTGTGTGAGGAAGCGCGCAACTCTCAGTCGCCACCACTTGATGTCTCTCATATCATGTGGTGTGAGCTTCGGTTTGCGGTATTCAACCGCAAGGTCCCCATCTATGGACCTTATCTGTTTCATTTGATCTCGGCGACTTGGGAGAAGCAGTTCCCTCAGGAGGAGTTTGAGGCCCCTAGTTGGATTCGACACGAGTCCATCAGGCTCCATGTCAAGACTCAGTGGGCTAACACCACTTCTCGTGCTGAGGCCGCGGCTGCCATGGATGTGGATGCAGATGAGGATGAGGAGGAGGCAGAGGACGAGGTCAGCTCTAAGGGTTTCATCCCTCCCACTTCTCAGCCATCTTGGGTTAAGAGGCTGAAGAACAAGATGAAGGCTCTAATCTGTATGCAAGCTCAAGGGCAATATCGGACTCACGTTGCTTCCAAGGAGAGTCGCCGCCAGAACAAGAAGCTTATGAGGCTGTGTGGAGAGGATGTTTCTGGCGGTTCTGAGGAGCGCATCACTCCAGCGGCTGAGTGGATGGCAAAACAGAGCTTCAAGTGGACCGATTCCGAGGAGGACAACGAGGAGAACGTTCCCACTGCCGAGTCTGACGAGGAGCGTGCGTTTGATTACTCTGCTTGAGCCACCACTTGTGTTTTAGGTGTCCTCTCTGCCTTTTTAGCGTCTCGATGCCAAAGGGGGAGAGAGTGTAGGGATTTGCGAGTCTTGTGTTGTGCTTGTGTTTTCTTTGCTCGCGTTTGTTCCGTTAAACCTTGCTTGCTTTGGTTTAGTTTGCTCGTGAGACTTGGTCTATCATATGGTGTAAGACATATGCACCCTATCATACCTTACTTGAGCTTATGTTTTATTTGCTATTTATGTTATGCTCATATTTATCATCTTGTCTAGTGTTAGCCTTATTGTTGCCTATATGCTTTGTTTACAAAATATAGGGGGAGTGTTGATCCTAGTATACGTGTCGTGCAGTCCAAAGCACTTATCTAGATAGCACGCATCTAGGGGGAGCTCGTCTATATTTTGGAGTTGTGGGGTTTGCATATGTTCTATATTGTTTCCCTTTGTGCAAATCCCGTATTGTCATCAATCCACCAAAAAGGGGGAGATTGTAAGGGCATATTTATCCCTAAGGCGTTTTGGTGATTGATGACAATGCTTTTGCAGACTAATCGTGTGCCTTGAGTATCTCAGACAATTCGTCACTAGGCACAAGACGGTTTGGTGCCCTCGAAGACTATTGAAGACGGCATTTTTCCACGATTCTTTTCGGTGGTTTGAGTCATAGGATAGCCGTACTATTAAGAGTGGGTCCACGTTGGAAAGGTTCGGGTGGAATCATCATGTACACGTTTTCTTCCTTTTCACCGCCTTTCCCTCTGCGCTTTGGAGCATCCTCTGTTGTCTTCATATTTTGCAAAAAGAAGGATTCCTAGTGCTGTTGTTCTGAGGCATGCGGTAGTACTGCTCTTAGGAGCGGTAGTACCGCAAGCCATCGCGGTAGTACCGCACGCCGTTGCGGTAGTACCGCTCTTAAGGAGCGGTAGTACCGTGGCCTTGGACCAGACCCAACTGCTCGTGCGGTTGTAGGGGCGGATGTATTTTTTTACATCCGCGCCTTACGCGGTAGTACCGCCCCATGCACGCGGTAGTACCGTGGGTCCTGATCTAGCACAACAACACGAGTGGAAGTAGGGGCGGATGTAATTTTTTACATCCGCTCCCTGCGCGGTAGTACCGCACGCCAGGTGCGGTAGTACCGTGTCGGATTTTTGCACCATCTGATTTTCAGCGGAAGTAGGCACAGATGTATTTTTATTCATCCGCGCCCTTCCCAGGCTAGTCCATTCCAGCCTTGCGGTAGTACCACAAGGGGGAGAGATAGTACCGCGTCAGTGACAGTACCGCTCTCAGCCTTTGCGGCTCTGGCCTGGACTAGCGCCTGCCGTAGCAGCGGTAGTACCTTGAGCCTTTGCGGTAGTACCGCAAGTCACGGGCTGGTTAAGTGGATAACGGTTGGATTTGTCTCTCCACTATATAAGGGGTGTCTTCTTCCTCTAGTTGACTACCTCTTCCAACCCTAAGCTTCATTGTTGCTCCAAGCTCCATTTTCGCCCGATCTCTCTCCATAGCCAATCAAACTCGTGTGATTTGCTCGGGATTGGGTGAGAAGGCCCCGATCTACACTTCCACTAAGAGAAATTTGATTCCCCCCACTAATCCCTAGCGGATCTTGTTACTCTTGGATGTTTGAGCACCCTAGACGGTTGAGGTCACCGCGGAGCCATAGTCCATTGCGGTGAAGCTTCGTGGTGTCGTTGGGAGCCTCTAATTAAGTTGTGGAGATTGCCCCAACCTTGTTTGTAAAGGTTCGGTCGCCGCCTTCAAGGGCACCAATAGTGGAATCACGGCATCTCGCATTGTGTGAGGGCGCGAGGAGAATACGATAGCCCTAATGGCTTCTTGGGGAGCATTGTACCTCCACACCGCTCTAACGGAGACGTACTTGTGTGCGCTGATGTGTCGGATGGTTTCGTTCCTCGGGGCTCGAACGATCTGCGACGTGGTGACGCAATGAACATCCGCCGAAGAAGAAGAGGAAGAAGAAGAAGAAGGGGGAGGAGGAGTTGGAGAAATGCAGATGAGGGGAGGGGAGGGGCCAAAGGAAGGGTAACTAACTAAGAATAACAAGACAGCTCTACGTGCCGTGCGCCGCTCAATTGAAGGGAAAGGGAAGGGACGAGAGGGCATCAGATTCAGATCTGATCTGAAGTAAAGCAAAACCAACCAACCAACAGAGAGGCGCAACGGCAATTCCTTCCATTCCTTTGTTCGGTGCCACTGTAGGAGGAGGAGGAGGAGTACATAATAACCACCCATCACTAGCAACAAATCCCTCCCACATCTCTCCCCCTCTCCCTCTCCTCTCCTCTCCTCTCCTCTCCTCTCCCACACAAGCAAGCAAGGAAGGTTCTCAGGCCGCCGCCGCCGCCACGATGAGCTCCTCCTCGAAGCTCTTCCAGTCCGCCTGCAAGGCCGCCAGGTCCTTCCTCGCCTCCTCCTCCGCCCCCGCCGCCGCCCCGCGCGCCGCCTCCTCCGTCCTCGCAGGTCAGTCAGTCACGAAACGAATCGGATCAACCACCATTCCATTCGATCCAGATCACAGCAGATCAGAGCAGATCAGATCAGATCAGGTCAGGTCAGGGATTCATCCAGATTTCCATTCCGATTGCGTTGCATTGCAGACGGGAGGAACGCCGCGCTCGCCACCCTCGCCAACCTCGGCAGGAACTCCACCCTCCCAGCCGCATACGCCCACCACCTCCACACCAACGCCGCCGCATCCTCCCACGCCTACGCATGGCTCGCCGCCATCCCCGCCGCAGGTCAGTCACTCCTCTCCATCTTCTCTCTAACCGCTTCCGATAGATTCGTAGATCCATAAGGCCTACTAACCCAGCATCCCTTGGTTACAAACAGTCTACATGCTCCAGGATCAGGAGGTGCATGCTGCCGAGGTACCGACCCACACCCTTCCCCCCACTCCTCTATTCTACTGCATCGGATATCTGTATTGTATTCCCTTTGATTTGAATCAAATGGAACCACCATGTCTAATCCTACCATTCTCAATCTGCCTGCCTGCAGATGGAACGCACCTTCATCGCCATCAAGCCTGACGGCGTCCAGAGAGGCCTCGTGAGTAGTACCAACCTATACTTTCTACACATATCTCTGCTCTGCTCTGCTCTGTTATTAATCATATCATATTCGCCCTACACCATTCATACCATACACTCATTGTTTGTGCATGGCTGCTCACTGGTTATGTTTTTACTGTGCTCTAGTTGCAGTTGAGGCCCCCTCAGTCGAGGACGTCTTTTGCACTTGTCCCATGCCCGTACATACACGCATACAACTATACAACAAACGAATCGTGATTCCATTTTGTTGAATACAAATGCTCGCCTATTCTATTCAGCCCCCACACAGCATACATTGTCAGTTCAGATCTGTCCTAGGCCAGCCATTAACAATTTAATCTCCTACTCTTAGATCCCAATTGGGTCTATACCAAGATTATAGGATAAAATATCAACATCTACACTACAAGAATAAATAAAATATGAAAAATACTTTTCATGATGGATATAATGATATGAATTTGGTATTTCAGATATTGATACTGTTTCTTTCTAAAAACTTGGTCAAACTTGGACATGTTTGACTTCTTTTTAAACTAATACTACACCTTATATATTGGAACGGATGGAGTATAATAATAGTGCCACTCCACCTAGCTAGGATTTTTCTTTTCGGGTTTTGGAAACAAACCTTACTCTTCTATAGTAGTAGAGGCCTTGTGAGTACCAACCAACACTTGCATCTCTGTTCTGCCCTGCCTTTTATCAATAATAATACTACTAGTCCTACAACATTCATACAATACATATTGGTTCAGATCAATCAGTTCAGTATGTATGCCCCTGGCCCTGCCTTTGGTCACACTTGATGTCTTGTGCTATTTTGTACTACCTCCGTATCAAAATATAAGACATTTTTTTTACACTATGACAGTGCCAAAAACGTCTTATATTTTGATACGGAGGAAGTACATAATACACGTATATACAAGTACAGATCCGTCGTCGACTAGGCATATTCTATTTTTTCGCGCACCGACATTGTCCTTGAGATCTCTTCTCAGCTAACAATTAACAACTAATCTCGTTCATACTCTTGGATCCCATTTGCATTTTTTTTTCTATTACTTCGGTTGCATCGATAAGTAGGCGTGCAGGATGCATTAGCCTATTATGCTTCAAAAGCATGATCTGGCACTAGTGCTAGGCTTGCTTCTAGCTACAGTTAGGCTCATATGCAAATCCACCTAAAACCAAAATATATATGCAGCCCATCACAACCCCTTAAAACCAAAAATATGCAGTCCATATACGAATAGGTCAATTGAATTGTAAACGCATTCCTGGACTTGAAATGCTAACATGACATATTCTGTTTCGCGCACCGACAGCATTTTTCTTGAGATCTGTTCTAGACCAACCATTAACAACTAATGTTGTACCTGCCCTTGGACCCATTTGGATCTATCTGTATATTATATAATAATAAAGGCACACCACTTAGCTAGGAGCCTAGGACAAGCTTGGGGGTTTGGAGAGAAACCTTACTCTTTTATCTTGTCGGACCCTGTCTGCCTTTCCTTATTTCGGTAGCATCGGTAGTAGGGGGCCACTAGCCCATTATGCTTCACAAACAAGGTTTGGTAATAAGGCTAGGCATGCTTCTAGTTACAGTCATGCTGATGTGCAAATCCAGTTCCACCATTCAGCCCATCACAATTCCTTAAATCCAAAATGCAAAAATAGGCAGCCCATCACAATTCCTTGAAACGAAAATGAGCAGTCCATCACAATCCCTTGAAACCAAACTGCGCAGCCCATCACAATCCCTTAAAACCAAACTGCGCACAGCCCATCACAATCCCTTAAAACCAAAAATGCACTGCCCATCGCAATCCCTTAACCAAACTGCTCAGCCATCTCAATCCCTTAAAACCAAAAATGCACAGCCCATCACAATCCCTTAAAACCAAAATGCACAGCCCATCACAATCCCTTTAAAACCAAAATGCACAGCCCAATGCAATCCCTTAAAACCAAAATGCACAACCCATCCCAACCCCTTAAAACCAAAATGCACAGCCCATCACAATCCCTTAAAACCAAAATACACAGCCCGTGCCCATCACAGTCCTGTAAGACCAAAATATGCAGTCCATCACAAGTTTCTACTGTTTAGTGTTCTCCCCCATGTCAGGTGTTCAGTAGAAGATGTTGCTGTTATGCAGTGAGGGTCACAGTTTGTTTCAAACCTCTTTTATCCTTTGCTGTAGGGCTGTTAGCCAACAAGGGCTGTGACATTTTGGTTTCATTCTATGAACAGAGCCAGGGAAATACCCCTGATTTTCGGGATACAAAAAGTGTTCTCTCCATACACATGTCTTTAATTTGCTACTGTATGATGATGGATGTCTCTGTATCTTTTCTCTCTGGCAACAGATTTCTGAGATAGTGTCCCGATTTGAGAGAAAAGGATACAAGCTTGTTGCCATCAAGCTGGTGGTTCCATCCAAGCAGTTCGCCGAGAAGCACTACCATGATCTCAAGGAAAGGCCTTTCTTCAATGGACTGTGCGACTTCCTCAGCTCCGGTCCCGTGCTTGCCATGGTAATCAAATCCTCCCATCTTTTGTCCGTACACAAATAACCCTGTGTTTGCCGCCAAGTTGCAGTTTATTAATCTGTTCCATATTCTGAAGGTATGGGAAGGAGAGGGCGTTATCAAGTACGGGAGGAAGCTGATCGGTGCCACGGACCCATCGAAATCTGAGCCAGGAACCATCAGGGGTGACCTTGCTGTTGTTGTTGGAAGGTATGCTTCATTCTCTCTTCAGTAGGCCCAGCTAGCGATGATCCATTATTTGCACTCATTCAGAAAAGTGTGTCCATGCATCTAATCATCCATCATTTGCACTCATCACTGCTTAGTTCCAGTCTTTTAGAATAGACAGACTGAAACAAAAAAAGAAAGGCCTGATGTAGGTTCGATTCCGCATTTTCTTGAATGCCATGATGCACTCCCAGAATAATTCCGTTGTGCTCACATTCATTCCGTCGTCTGAACGTCAGGAACATCATCCACGGGAGCGATGGCCCGGAGACAGCCAAGGACGAGATCGCGCTCTGGTTCCAGCCCAAGGAGCTGGTCTCTTACACCAGCAACGAGGAGAAGTGGATCTACGGTGTGAACTAACCGCCGCATCGTCTTCAGAAGAGCCAAAGAAGCTCCAGTCCCTTTCCGTAATCGCCTCTAGACCATGGCAGAGTGCAATAACACCGCGACCCGGGCGACCTTTCAGTCGGTGTCGCCCTTGCCCTTGTCTCATCGTGATGCAATAAGGCCCGAAGAAATTTAAAGAGTTTGTTTGTACCTTTGAATATTATAGAGCGAGCAATCGTGATGTTCAAATCAAACCGTCGCCTTCAGGCGCTTGATTTTGATGGATGCTGTTTGTTTTCATGTGTTGCCCAAATTCAGGCCTACATTCTCTGCACTTTTCACTGTCACTGTAGCTGAAGTCCATTTTAATTATGTTTTCGTACTTTGGCGTGTGATTGATTGCGAGATGCTTTTGGGGGGGCTATATGATGATGAGTTTTATTCGGCCGCTTTCACCTTTCAAAGTCTTTGAGGGTGCAATTTTCGCTGTCGTTTCCTTAAAATTGACACTAAAATAGCGACGGATTATGATAGCCGCCTTTTGCCTGTTTTATTGTTTGCTTGGACCAACTTTTATGTATTTTGGTTAGTTTTCTACAAAGATTTATACTAAAAAAGAAATTTGAGAATGCTTGTGGACATAAAAGGACAAGAGTTTTGGTTTGAAAACTAGGGCCCTGAGACTGATAGGTCAGTTTGTTTTGAAGAGAAAACTCTCTTCTTTATTGACAGCAAACACTTCACCAACCATCATCATCATCATCAGAATTATTAATAGCAACAACAACATGATTATTTTTACATGGGAAGCAAGAGAGGAGCCTGGGTTTTATTTATTTAGTAGTACCAACTTCAAGTTCAAGCCTTTGTACACAGAAGAAGAAGAGGAGCCTGCCTGGCTAGGGCTCTCCACTCTCTTGCACCGCAGGGAGGAGGACCATCATCATATTATTATCACTACTACTACTACAAACGAACGCAGAAAATAGAAAATGTCACCCATAGGAACGGAACGGATTTGATGGAGCGACTGAAATGAATTCCGACGGGCGGCGCAGCGCGGCACGGCAGCCATGACCCTAGAAGGCGGTGCCGCCTCACCTAGAAGCTTCTAGACGCCAACAAAGCCACTGGCAGCATCTCCCAGCAGCAGCAGCAGCAGCAGCAGCATAATTCCCTCCTGGCAACAACCTTTGTCTTCCCTCCTCATCGGCTTCGCGGCGGCCTCCATGGCCCCGTCTACTTCCTCGGCTTGAGCATGTCGCCGTCGTCCATCTTGGCGAACCTCCCTCGCACCCTCGGCTGGCTGTCCGCCAGAGCCTTCCTGCAAGCATACTGCAACACACAGAATCGAAAACATTCATCATTCTCTGATATTGCATCTTGTACTCGTAGAAGAAGAGAAGTAAGAGAGATTTGTTTGTTTGTGCACCTTGATCTTTCTGCCAAAGTTCCTCTGGATCTTCTTCTTCCTGTACCTGTTGAGCTTCTGCTTCCTCTCCTCGCTTTTGAGGTCGCTGATGGTCACAAGCCTCTCACCAGATGCCTGCACATTTGCCGCGATCCCAGGCCGAGGGGTATTGGCACCAAGCTTCTGTCGAAAAAAGAGGTAAACATGTTAGCCTTGCAAATTGCATATCCTCATACAAAAATTGAACTTTACATGATGATCCTATTCCTACCTAAACACATGATCAGGAAGAAAACATATTACTAGCATCTCGCATGTCGAAAAATCTAAGCATCTTGAAAGATACCACACAGTAAGTAGCTAGACTGGTGCTGAGTGTGCAGGGTAGGCATATATGCGCTCTAGTATCAGCTAAAGCAGTGAGGAGGCCGTTAAGGGAAAGGGTGGCTTTGGGCAGAATTAGCAACCTCTGAGATCACATCACTACCTAGCTACCTAGTGCCTCTCCTTCCTTCATATCATAGCTTTTATCTTCTATATAGTATAACGGAACGGAACGGCATTTTCATGTTGAGCAAAGCACTACACTGCACACCATTTTAGTACAACTACAGTGAGGTTTTTGTGGAATGCCATGAGAAAGCGACGCCTTTTAGGTTTGTCTCGTGTACTTATCGTGTCTCTTGTCGACAGCTGTGCTCAGTTAGAGACACAAAGGCGAAAGGTCGATCAGTGGTGCTTGTCACAGCAATAATTCCATTTTCCATCTAGTGTTGTGTTGTGTTGTGCAGTGCAACAGGGAGAGAGAGAGAGAGAGATGATCATCACCATGTCATACATACCTGAATGTCACCCTCGCTGTAGGCTCGCCGGAGCCCGAAGGCGGCCTCGAAGTCGAGCCCTTGGAAGTCGAGGAAGTTGGGCCTCACCGCCGACCCGTTCATCCAGTCGCCCGAGTTGAGGCACCCGGAGCTGACGCTCTTCTGGAGCGAGCACTCGCCGGTGCCGGCGGCAATTGTCGATGACGAGGAGGCCCTGAGCTCCCCGGGCACGTCCTCGACCTGCAGCATGGGGATCTTGACGTCCAGCAGCTCGGATATGGTCTCCTCGATGGCCGACTTCTCCATGAGCTCCTTCTCGCACTCGTACAGCACCTCGCTCAGGCCCATGTCCGAGACCTTGATGCTGTCGTCCATGGCGTTGTCGCCGCCGGACATCATGGAGATGGCGGCGGCGACGGGATCGAGGGCCAGCAGCGGCTCCTCGATTATGGGCTCCGGGGCCTTGAACAGGTCGCCCTCTGCTCCAAGGTCATACTCTGATATCAGGGATGGCTGCCCCATGTCTCCCTGTTATTTATTTATTTTTACATAGATGCATGAAACAAAATATTAGATAGAGCTGATTTAATCATACTACAAACACTTAATTTCTGGAAAATACAATGAACTGAAGAACAGAAGTAAACAGCAGGGCAATTCATTCATTCAGTAAATAAAATAAAAAGGAGTAGAAGAGTAAAAATAAAAAGGCAAGTGGTAGTAGTAGAGAATAGTTTTGATGAGTGGGGGGTAGCATCTATGGCCGCATGTACTATTCGTTGTTGTATTCTAGCGTGGGCGCACATGTGAACTGACGCCAAGTCCCTGTCATGCTTTGCTATTGCTATTGCTATTGCTACCACCACACCACACCACACCACATGAGAGCAGAGAAGAGCATATGCTTCCCATGGACAGTGGCATCTCAATTTGGCCAAAAACTCGACCTAATTCGATCCCTCTCCTCAAATTGGCAGCTAAAGCCTAAAGGTGACCAAGTGTTAAAAATATCTGAGCCCCTCCCTGTGACCTGTGACCTGGCAGCTAAAGCCTTTGTGTGGGAAGAAGAAGATTCAAAGTTGGGAGGCAACATGAGCAAGTGTTGTTATGTGGGATCTTTCTTTACATATAAAAATAAAATAACAAAAGTGAGGGTCATATAATCTGCCAAGGTGCATGTGTCCATGAGTAGGAGGATTTATGGCATGGTGCTGCTAAATTAGGACGGTTTGAATTAGGCCAAAATTAGGAGTGAGTTTGATGGATGCTTTTTGTATGGCAGTGCCGTGCTGATGGACGTTGACGAGTACTGTATTAGTACAAATATATTAATTATAGGAAGAGGACATGATAAGCAATCTTTGTCTATCAGTAGCTAAAAATGTGCAGGCTGCAGCTTGACAGTGTGATTGATGCATGTTGATGACAAGTAGTACTAGTGCAGTAAAGTAAAGTAGTAGTACCACTAGTCTTCCCTTGTGTGCAGATATTAGTATTATCTTTGCAACAAGGAAAGTAAAGCAAAAGGTGGAAGAACCAATGAGTGCTTAAAGGTGGGCTTGTAGTAAGTATTAGACATGTTGTGTTTAATTAGTGGAGGGGTTTTAAAAGTGGGAGATGAATGAATCTGATTAAAAGGGAGGGAGGGAGGGAGGTTGTTTCTAGTCTAGTCTAGTCTAGTCTAGAATAGTTGACACCTCCTCCCTTTGATGAACTGTACAAAATATAATACTGCATAGTTGATAGTGTTTGCAGGAGGGTGGGGCTCGGAAACAACAAGGGAGAGAGAAAGCGACATTATTATTTTTGTCTCGACGGCAAGGAGAGGAGAGGAGAGGAATTGGCGGCGGCGGCGGCCGTGGTGCAGGAAGCAATTTGAGAGAGAGCACCTTGTATCTTATTGACCTCTAAAATTGAATTGAATTGAGTTGAATTGCGGCCAAGAAGCAGAATCAGAGTGAGAGAGAGGAAAAACTAGTGTTGGGGTTAATTTTTTATTTTGATGCAACAGGAAAAGAAGAGCCAAGCAAGTGCTGGAGGGAGTTTGATGTGATCTGAGGAGATTGGTTGCAGTGCAGTGGCATGCATGTGCATGTATGCAAGCTAAGACTAATAATGGAGCAGAAGAAATGGGAGGGAGGTGGAGAAGTAGTACTACTCACCAGGTGGTGGTACATGGCGGCGGAGGCGTCGTCGTCGTCGGGTGCAGCGGCGGCTTGATGTTGTTGGTGTTGCTGGTGCAAGAGAGGGAGAGGGAGAGGGAGAGGGAGTTGCGGCGGTTGCGCCGGAGCAGCGGTGTTGGGGGCAGAGGAGAAGGAGGAGTGGTCGGGGTAGGGGTGGGAGAAGAGCGGGGGCGAGTATGAGTAGCCCTGCGGCTGCGGGGAAGGAGAGTAGGCGGAGAAGCTGAAGCCGGCGTCGGCGAACATCTTGCTTCTACTTGTCTGCTGTGCTGGATCTCTCTCTGCTCTGCGCTGCTTTGCTTTGCTTGTAGGAATGAAGGAAGGATGGAAGGATGGAAGGAAGGTAGGTATATGTGATGGGTGGATCTCCGGTCCGGATGGGTGGTCCGGCGGGCGGTGGCGCGAGGAGAGGAGAGGAGGGGAAGGGCTGGACCTAGGCTAGCTGCTGGTCTGCTCTGGTCTGGTCTGGTCACTTTCTTCCCCACACTATATCTCTTCTCTACGTATGAGATGAGATGAGTAGGCCAGATGGGTAGGGGAGGGGAGGGGAGGGGTGAATGAAACAAGGAATGGAGTGGGTTGGGAGAGATTGGAAAGGATGGAGGCCTCCGGGGGCAGGATTTATAGGACAACAAAGGAGCAGAGCAGAGGAGAGGAGGAAGAAAGAGCGGCGGGCGGGCGGAGGAGGAAGAAGAAAGGGACAAAAGAAAGAAAGAAAGAAAGAAAAACAAAGCGTCCATAACATCACATCACACCGCCAACACGGTGCTGCTGGGCTGGCCTCAAGACTCAAGAGAAGAAGAGCCTCACCGGTTGCTCGAATGCTCTTGCTCTTGGTTGCTGCCTGCTGGTGCCGGTAAACAACAGGGAAGGAAGCAACCCGTCTGCTTGTGCTGCATCTCACTCTCCTAAACTACTACTTCCCTTATTACTGCCAGATGCTTACTACTTACTGTCATCTCTCTACACCCAATTGTTATTCTTCTTCTTCTTCTTCTTCAATCAGTGAGGCAGCAGTCCTTCACCTCCTTGCGCAACGCAATCAACACAGGCCACACCCACACACGCCTCTCTCTCCCCACAAGTCTGCGGCTACAGTGCTTACCACTAGCAGCCAGCCAACAAAAATAACCTACACTGCTCCATTCCTACAGTGCCACCCATGTTCCTTCCTTCCTTTATTTGTTTCTTTGTTTGTTTGTTTCTTTGTTTTACCTTTACTTCCTTTTGTATTCATATAATACAAGTGAAACAACCCAGAAACCATACTACAACAACACTGCTAACGCTGGCCGGGTGCAACATAACTAGTACTAGTAAATACTAATACAAATAGCGAACCAACCCGTGGTTGAGATGGTTAGGTGTTCAAATCCTGATGCTCGCATTATTTCTGGATTTATTTCAGGATTTCCGGCGATGCGCTTTCAGTGGGAGGATGACTTCGTAAATCTCAAGATGATATGCCGGCTCAGTCTTTCGGAGGTGCTCATAGGGGTAGGGTGTGCGTGTGTGCGTTCATAGGGATGAGTGTATGCGCGTGTATATGAACGCTTGTGTCTGTACTGATGCTCAAAAAATAGTAATACAAATATTTGCATGGATCTACTAGTACTGCTGCTAACCGGTTCACATCCACCCACTCCATCAATCATTCCTCCATTTCTTCCACTTCTACTTCTACTGCTTCCTCCCCCTCCTAGCTTGCCATCCATCCCCATCTACCCGTCCTAATCACCAACCACATATGCCTAATAAACTACCTTAGCTAGTATCCTGCGTCAAGACCAAAATCTAATTACTTAATCCCAAAATCTAATGACAGGCAGTCAAGACACAAGACGACATCACACACTCCCACCAAGTTTTATTTGTTTCTTTGGCTCATTGCATCAACCTGCAGCTGTGGCTCGCCCCTACGGTCACCTCCGGAGCTCCTTCCTTTTATTGCACCACGCTGCCTCCTTCCTTGCTAATCACACCCAAGCTAACTAGCAAGTTGCATGTACTCCACGACCGCCATCCATTCCACTCGCTCACATTAATCCCGATTCGCCCTCCCCTAATTAAATCATCAGAGTATTCTCCATATGTTAGTTTGCGAAAATGTCTTATATTATGAGACGGAGGGGGTATTTCTTTCTGTATCATCACTGTGCCTTCCTCCTTCATCTCCACTCGCCCGTGGCTAGCGATGTCGCATCGCCATTTCGACCGCGCACTTGGTAATTCCCCTTAGTATGACAAAAGGTGAAGAAGCACTCGAATGTTTTTGGACCCGTGGCCAGAGTGCTTTTTGTAGTCAACCAGACAACGTACACCCTTATTGTGGTCATGTACAAGGAAATAAAAGAATACACTCTTATGTAGGGGCATACACCCACCAAGTCTATCCACTCACATTAATTGGAATTCATCCTCGATTAGTCGTCCACTAAATTACCTTCGCCTTCCTATTATTGTATATATATTACATATAAGCAACTTTTAAAGAAAATAACGACCACCTGCCATCCACCTAGCTAGCTGCCTGGTTGGTTAGTTGTTTATACGCCGCCAAACTCTTTGCCCATCTGTTTTTGTCATTCATTTTCATCTTATTTATGTGTCTCAGATAACCATCCATCGAAGGGCGAAGATAAGCCCCATGCACGCCAGGGTGTGATGGTCACGTGCCCATACACACTATTTTTTATCCGACCACGCTAATAACAACTCGCTACCTTCCACCTAGCTAGTAGGTCGATTTATGTGTCTCAGATAACCATACACACTGTTTATACGCCACCAAGCCCTTTACTCGTCCGTTTTTTGTCATTCATTTCATCTTATTTGTGTGCCTCGGGTGACCATCCATCCAGGGGCGAAGATAAGCCCCAGGCACACCGGGGTGTGACAGCCACATGCTCGTACACACTATTTTCGATTTGAGCGCATAAATTACAACCTGGTACCTTCCACCTAGCTAGCAGGTCGATTTGTTGCCTGTTTATACACCGCCAAGCCCTTTACTCATCACTTTTTGTCGTTTATTTTCATCTTATTTATGTGTCTCAGATAACCATCCATTGAAGGGCAGAGATAAGCCCCATGCACGCCGGGGTGTGACGGTCACGTGCCCATACACACTATTTTTTGATCCGACCACGCAAATAACAACTCGCTACCTTCCACCTAGCTAGCAGGTTGATTTGTTGCCTGTTTATACGCCACCAAGCCCTTTACTCATCCGTTTTTGTCGTTCATTTCATCTTATTTGTGTGCCTCGTGTGACAATCCATCCAGGGGCGAAGATAAGCCCCAAGCACACCAGGGTGTGACGGCCACGTGCTCGTACACACTATTTTCGATTTGAGCACGTAAATTGCAACCCGTAACCTTCCATCTAGCTAGCAGGTCGATTTGTTGCCTGTTTATATGCCACTAAACCCTTTACTCACCCATTTTTGTCGCTCATTTCATCTTATTTGCGTGCCTCGGGTGACAATCCATCCAAGGGCGAAAATAAGCCCCAGGCATGCTGAGGTGTGACGGCCACGTGCTCGTACACACTATTTTCGATTTGAGCACATAAGTTACAACCCGCTACCTTCCACCTAGCTAGCATGTCGATTTGTTGCCTGTTTATATGCCACCAAACCCTTTACTCGTCCATTTTTGTCGCTCATTTCATCTTATTTGCGTGCCTCGGGTGACCATCCATCCAGGGGAGAAGAGAAGCCCCCGGCACGCTGAGGTGTGACGCCCACGTGCTCGTACACACTATTTTCGATCTGAGCACGTAAATTACGACCCGCTATCTTCCACCTAACTAGCTGGTTGATTGGTTGCATGTTCATATGGCCCTAAACCCTTTACTCATCTGTTTTTGTCTTTCATTTTCTTCTTGCCTCATGTGACCATCCATCCAAGGGAAGAGATAAGCCTCAGACACGCCGAGGGTGTGACGGCACGTTCTCATACACACTACCCAACATGCAAATTACAACCCGCTACCTTCTACCTACCTAGCTGATCGATTGGTTGCCTGTTTATATGCCACCAAATCCTTTATTTCCATTTTTGCCGTTCATTTCATCTTATTTGCGTGCCTCGGGTGACCATCTATCCAGGGGCGGAGATAAGCCCCAGGCACACCAGGGTGTGACAGCCACGTGCTCGTACACACTATTTTTGATCTGAGCACGTAAATTACAACTCACTACCTTCCACCTAGTTAGCTGGTTGATTGGTTGCATGTTTACAGGTGACCATCCATCCAAGGGCGGAGATAAGCCTCTGGCACGCCGGGGGTGTGACAGCCACCATCTTGTACATACTATTTTTGATCTAAACACGTAAAATTACAACCTGCTACCTTCCACCTAGCTAGTTGGTTGATTGGTTGCCCTTTTATATGCCACCAAACCATTTAGTCATCCTTTTTGTCGCTCATTTTCATTTGTGTGCCTAAGGTGATCATCCATCCAAGGGCAGACATAAGCCTCATGCACGCTGGGGTGTGACGGCCACGTGCTTGTCCACACTATTTTCGATATGAGCACGTAAATTACAACCTGCTACCTTCCACCTAGCTAGCTGGTCGATCGGTTGCCTGTTTATTTGCCACCAAACCTTTTACTCATCCATTTATGTCGTTCATTTTCATCTTGTTTGCATACCTCAGGTGATCACCCATCCAGGGGCAGCCCCAGTCACGCCGCGGTATGGCGGCCACGTGCCCGTACACACTACATTTTATCTGAGCACCTAAATGACAACCCGCTACCTTCCACCTAGTTAGCTGGTCGATTGGTTGCATGTTTATATGCCACCAAACCCTTTACTCATCTGTTTTTGTCGCTCATTTTCATTTTGTTTGCATGCGTCAGGTGACCATCCATCCAGGGGCGGAGAGAAGCCCCAAGCATGCCGGGGTGTGATGGCCACATGCTCGTACACACTATCTTTATCTAAGCACGTAAATTACAACATGCTACCTTCCACCTAGCTAGCTGGTCGATTGGTTGCCTATTTATATGGCACCAAACCCTTTACTCATCTGTTTTCGTCATTCATTTCATCTTATTTCACCTTGGGCCAACCTTAACCCTATCTATCTTCTATCTGAAACCGCCTTCCCACATCGTTGCATCCTATTTGTTACCGCTATGGACATTACCTTGATTCCTATATTTCTCTGCATGCTGCGGTGGATAGATCTGTGGTAGCCTCCCACAACATTCATTAGAATCCCTTCCTCCTTC